TACCAAGAAGGTCAGCATCCTTGTTTTTTCAACAGCCACTCAAGCAGAAATTAAACTCTACGTTAATTGATACCACTGCATTATCAATTTATGATGCCTTTTTTTATTTTATTGAACTATGAAGCATTTAAGTGCAGTAGTTTATCACAATCTGCTTTGATTTAGAGATTAGTGTACAGATATCAAAGCCAAATAATGATCTTAAAAGTTTATTTCTTGTCTTTCCTAAATGTTATAGTCCATTTATTGAGATTCTAGGAAAAATGGTTATAGGTTCTTAATTTTTTTTTTTTCTAGCTGTCTGAAGTATATAGATGCCTTCCTCCACCCCACCTCTTTCTGTGCCTACATGGTCAACTTTGTGTAGAAGGGTGATTCCCTATTTTACACAAAATCTAGGTTTGAATCTAATAAATATTTCAAGTTACAAAAATCCTTTTAGATAACACGTTTAGGAGTTCAGAGTGAAAGAAAAACATGCAGTGTGCATGTATTAATGAAAGTAAATGTTGTCATGACAATATGACTCTCACTTTAGATAGTTATTAGACACATTAGAAAACAATTTAATGAATCACTTCCTAACCAAATGAGGTTTACTGAGAAAGCTCAACCTGTGTCATCCATCACTGCTGTTTCTGCAATAAGACAACTTTGCTTCATATCAATGCAACCTCTTACCAACATACCTTTGTTAGACAGTTTCTGTAGCATTGTAAAAAAAAAAAAAATCATTTATTTTATAGTAATGCAGAACTTATTTATAATTAAGTCATAAATTACTGGTTTTTCTAAATGTTTTATTTTGCTATACTGTTTTTGCCCAAAGTGATATTCCCATGACTGTATGATAGGCTACAGTACAACCCTTCTAGAAAACTACCTGTCTGATTATCAGCTTTGACAACTGATACCGCCTTTAAGTTTGATTAAATAAAAATTAATTGAAAAGGGTAAAAATTATATGCAATATGCAATCTTAAATTTTCCTATTTTCCAGTATGTATTAAAATAAAAGAGGTAAATGAAACCATATAAATAATTTGGTGCAATAATCCACATGCAAACATTGTGGCAGCAGTAGATATAACGATAAATCATTTTACTTTTAACTTCCAAGGATTTATATTCATTCTATTTTAATGTTATATACAAATACAAAGATATCTTGAAATTTAGCAATATTACTCCATGTTGAAAACTGCAAGTACATCTTATTTAGATTTCACATAAAGCAGAAGATAATTTCACAGACTTTGAAGCCTCTAAAATTTGGACAAATTTGGCTAAAACAGTTGGTGAACTAAACTTCTCAGGATCTTTTCAAGACCTTTAAATAGACCTAAGAATTGACAAAATAATGACAGTGTAACAAAGGCCCTTTTATTGTTAATGGCTGATCAGTGCAACTTGAGCTTGTGTCCTGAGGCGATGTGAAAATTCCTCCCGTTTAACAGTCTCTAATTATACCATTTCTTGGAAGGATTAAAGGAACCTGTAGACGTGTTTTCTTTTTCCTTTTTAAGAAAATATAGAATAAAGGGCAACATTTAAACATAGTAACAAAGTAATAGACTACTGTTTGTGTTTAGGTACACTTATCCATTTGAATCTTTTTTTGTTTATTTATTTTACTTTTATTTAACCAGGAAAGTCCTGTTAGAATTTAAAACCTCTTTTTCAATGAACGCACATATGTTATTTAAAGGTATATAAAGTGAGTAATTCCCATGCAGTCACTCTCAAGTATAATTTTCCCTCTTTGCATAGTGATAGAAAAAAGTTAATTATGTACATTAGTAGAGTGTCTACAGAGCATACAAAATATCATTGTTAATTAACACTAAATGGATTATTTTTGCTCAGCCTAAATATACTTTTTTATGTTATCAAGGGGTGCAAATTTGTTCTTAAGTGTCCAGTGCAATTATACTGTCTTGGATTTTCTCTATTTTATCTAAAACACCTGATGCTCAGTGAGCTCAAGTACACTTTGTGAGTAGCTCCTCTTTGATTTGTCCAAAGTGGCAAATTGTTCAGAGAGGATTTACCGTAATAGAAGAATCTCTCTCGGTGTGAGCTGTGTGCAATTTTGCTATTGACAAAATGGGCCTTGAGTGTTAAGGAACTCAGCTGAATGATTTTTACAAAATCCATTATCCCGCTACTCTTGCTGCAGTGTCACAACTGCTTTAGATTCTTGGCAGACAACACAGCACTCATTGCTATTTCCTCAATTCACATTTAATTGCAAGAACCTTTTTTTTCCCAGTCTTTCTAAAAGAATGAGGGACAGTGTGGTTTAGTAAATATTATATAACAGTCAGATCTTTTTTAAAGAATAGCTTTTCATTTAAGATAAGCATTTCCAATATATATATACATATATATATATATATATA